ATTTCTGGAGCAGACTTCTGAGTCACACTTCCTGTGGAGAACTTGGCTTTGGCGTTTGATAACTTCATGTGTTCTCTGTCGTTCTTCTGCAATATGCTTGTCGTCAGGGTCGCTGTGAAATCCAAAAGTGCCGCAGAATACGAAGCTTAATATTCTTCAGAAACTCAGTGTTGTTTTAAGAACATTTTTTAGAAACCAACCTTTTGCATCAAAATGCAGCTAGTTTCTAACCTCTTCAGATATCTGGACTGAATGTAAGATCTTCACTGCTTGATTGTAGCCCAGTCTGGTCAGCGTGGTGGCATATGGGTTAGAACAGGCCGCTGCACTGCACTGGTTCAGGTCGGTCCAGTTGCGCTCCAGGCCGATCTGACTGGTCAGGTCAGCCCAGCATCGGCTCCAAGTCGATCCACCAGTTTAGGTCAGCCCAGCGGCGGCCTGGGGCCAATTCGTCAGGTCAGGTCAGCCAAGACCAGCGCCCGGCACGGTTCGTCGGAAGGTCATCTCAGGCTCAAAAGAAACGGTATATACCATTCGAAAGTTGACGGCGAGCTGAATCCAAAAATGTATTTTTTATCAAAATCGATCGATGGCCTTTTTTGAAAATTGCGTTTTTGTAAAAACTTAATAATCTTTTATTCAACGGACTGTCCCGGACATTCTTGAAAACATAAACATGTATTTTTGAGTTCCAGTGAAAGCTGAACGCCAAAAGAACAATATTTAGCGAAGCAATGTTTCCAAACATTAATATGCGTCTCCCACAGCCGACAATAAGGCGCAATCACACAGCTCAGTGTCACGATGGACCAAAGTCAGCCACACAGAAGCGTGAAATGACCCTTATCGACTCGCAGACCCGGCGCTCTCGGCCCGCCTGACCGGCCACGGAAAGAACGTTCGGCTCTCGTTCTACTAAACAAATGTCTTATTTGTCACTTTAACTGTCCACATCGCTTTTAAAGTTATTCAGGATACCTGTGAAGAAAATTCATTGTTCTGCTCGATTTACAACATGCTTTAATTTACATTTTCGTATACATGTTTTGTTCCATCCAGCTGCGATCAGTGCCCGCGCAGTGGAAGTGAGCGGGGTTTCACTGTCAGAGGCTGTACTGGTGACAGCTGCTCGGCCGTGCGACCGGTCAAAGGTTACCCTGCCCCGCCGGACGCTACCCCCACTCCACCCGAGCTGAGGCCGGTGCAACCTCTGACATTTCAGCGCGGCCAATTTTCCTTATATGGGCATGATACCAAGCTCAATTGAGCAAAGTAGACATGAACAAATGCAAATTAAAGCATGATGTGAAGATGACAGAACAATGAATTTTCTTCACAGGTATCCTGAATAACTTTAATAGCGATGTGGACAGCTAAACTGACAAATATGACATTTGTTTAGTAGAACGAGAGCCGAACGTTCTTTCCGTAGCCGGTCAGGCGGGCCGAGAGCGCCGGGTCTGCGAGTCGATAAGGGTCATTTCACGCTTCTGTGTGGCTGACTTTGGTCCATCGTGACACTGAGTTGTGTGATTGCGCCTTATTTTCGGCTGTGGGAGACGCATATTAATGTTTGGAAATATTGCTTCGCTAAATATTGTTCTTTTGGCGTTCAGCTTTCACTGGAACTCAAAAATAGGTACATGTTTATGTTTTCAAGAATGTCCGGGACAGCCCGTTGAATAAAAGATTATTAAGTTTTTACAAAAACGCAATTTTCAAAAAAGGCCATCGATCGATTTTGATAAAAATTACATTTTTGGATTCAGCTCACCGTCAGCTTTCGAATGGTACATATCGTTTCTTTTGAGCCTGAGATGATCTTCCGACGAACCGTGCCGGCGGCCCGGTGCCGGGCGCGCGCCGCTCGTCCGTCTATCGCTAATCACTGGCCTCGCGCGGACCGGAGGCACGTCTCGCGCCGCCGATCGCGCCTCGGTGCCCGTATCGCCGATCAATCTGGGACGGTGCGGCGGCGCCGCGATTACAGACGCGCCGGGCCGTGTGAGGTATCGGCTCTCCGCCGCCGGCGGGCTGTATTGAGGGAGCCGCGGCCGCCGTTGTCTGCGGAGAAAGAGACGGCGAGATGGATCGGCGCCGATGGTCGGCCGCCGCCGGAAAGGGATGGCCAGCGCTGCCCGGGTCGGCGGGAGACGCCACTCAGGGAAGGGGGGCACACCGAGCCTTACCCCGAGCACCAGGGTCTGAATAGCCAGCAGAGGATGGGTGGGCGCGATTCTGTTTGGGCTTGATGTGGAACGATTGCGATGTGTTCGAATCAAAATTGTCAATATCCTGGTACACATACTTCTGTATTTATAGAGAGATTGGCCCGTGATAGCATTGAGGATCATTTGGGAAGGAATATTTAATACTTTTTAAGGTATGCCGGCTCTACGAGTGAAGCTTTGTCCCCAGGAAGCTCAGACGATGTGGAATAATGGGCAGGTGGCCAGACAGCCTGGCGTCTGTTTAGTACGTGAGGGTTTAAACGCCATCATTATGTTCTTTTACCACCACAAAACATTATCGACATCATAATCACCCGACAAAAAGCCTACCAACTAACGCCAACAGTGGTACTGATAGCGTCAACAGGAAGTCCAATAGTGGCTCTTCCTGGACTGAGTGCCATTATTAACAACCCCTCCACAGTCTATACCGGAGTACCGTGCATACAACGATACATTGTTCTGCGAATCACTCGGCGTGCCATTTCATTTCGGATGCGGCCGGTGTGTGCGGTGCGGCCATTTTCAGTGGCGGCGCAGCTCCTCGAACTCATGAATGATCCGGTCGTTGGTCGCTCCGCCGCTCCGCTTGCCCGTCTCGGGTCGCCGGCTGGGCCCCGGGCCGGACCGATTGTGGCCCGTTGCGCAGGTCGGTCCGCCCTCCGATTGTCTGGACCCGTCTGAGACAGGGAGGAGCCCCCGGTGACACGGTTCGCGGGGCAGATGGAGCCGCCGCCGCCCCACCGTCGCGTCGTACGGTGTAAGGGCGGCCGTGCCCAGTGAGGGTGGAACTCGAGTCGCTTTGTTTGGTGTCGCTGAACTTTACTGACGCCGATGAACGGCCCGTAGAAATGTTCCCCTATGATGCCTCCCCCCCCCGCTCCCTCCCCCCGTGTCATCTGTGGCCGTCCACGTATCCATCGCCTCTCCATTGGTTCCCAGTTCAGTCACTCTAGCTATGAAGAGTGGAAACCATCAGCCCTGTCCGCAACCGTCTAGAGTGCCCTGTTTCTTCTTTGACTGCCTATGCGAGCATATCACTCGTCCCTCAATCCCGCTCTTGGCCGTATGGAATGACGGGCCCGCCACTCTCGTCTCTGACCGTCTATGATAGTGTCGTAGCCGTTTCCATAGCTACGTCTCTCTGACCGTCTATAGAGTACCGTATTCCTGTCGCGTTCCGGCTACAGGCACCCGGCGGCCGTTTTATAGTACCATATCCCGTCCCTGACTGTCTATAGAGTACACCGTCCATATTCACGTCTCTCTGACCGTCTATAGAGTACCCGTCTCTGTCGCGTTCCGGCGACAGGCAGCCAGCGGCCGTCTTCCGGGCACGTCGCAGCCAGCCGGCCGGCGCAGTCTTAATTGTTGCACCGACTTTGGAGCGGCTCAATTAGCGCTCTTTCATCAGCGTGCCAGCGCCAGAGCCCGAAATCCATGCATATTAAATAGGCGCCGTCTTCTGCCGCGCGGCCAGAAAGAACGGCACTCGTTAATAGGTGGAAATGAATGGAAATTGAAAAGCGACCGCGCCGCGCTGACCGAGAAAGGTTCAGTGGAGAGGCTTGAATTATGGTTTCATCTTACAAGGTATTGTACGGGCTTGTATTCCGATGAGTTCTTTTTGGAATTGATAACGTGAACTATAAGAACTTACTGCTTATTTTATTTTACCACCTGAATTTCGCCAGTCTCTACCGTCGACCTGTTTTTTATTTCAGCGGTTTTGGAGCTTTGGCTATCAGCCTTTTGCAACCGCGATGTTTGCTGCACGTATTTGTAACTGTTCAACAACGTTGTTATCGTTACTGGGAAATTCCTGCATTAGTTGTTGGGAACATTCTCCCCACAATCTGGTGGAAAATGGAAACGTGCCGCTGCCGGCGGGGTCTGTGCCTGTCGGCCTGTTTTCTAATCTGCCGCAGTTAACAGCGAAATTGGATTCTTTGATTCTAATATACGAAGCGGGGCGTGAAATGGGTTCCCGCGGACCTGCCGCCTACATAATGATTCTGCAATGCGCTGTGCCCGCTCGGTGTGGCAGTGCCATGTCGGTGGGCGGGGCGGGGAGGGGTGCCCCCTCCCCCTATAAGCAGCGATCGACACCGACCTTACGTCGCCCGAACTAAGATGGTGCCATAGTAAAACACATTGAGACCGGCGCCAGACGGCAGCCGCTCTTAGTTACGACGTGATTTCCGTGAAGTGCTCTGCAACCATGAAATACATAGGAATTACTGCCTGTGTTTAACCTTTTCGTTACATTAAGCAATGATTTCGGGACTTTATCGTGTCGTGAAATTTAACTCCGGTAATGCACGATTTGCCCGACGGCAGCGCATGCCAATCACGCCAAAAGCAGACTGTCACATTTACTGCAGTACCGCCAGTGGGTTATCGTTATATCGCTTTTATGTTGGTTTTCAGGCCAGTAATTAAATATGGCGGTGTTGCCGCGATCAATTAGACTAAAGACAGTCAAGACTATAAACCTTATCGCAGAATGTAGAAACCACTTTTGGCATGCAGACTCAGATTGATTTTGGTGTGCCTACTGATTGCATAGCGAGGTATATAAAAAAGCCTCCAGGAAGATTACGATAAAAGTCGTATTTAGTATTCAATTAATATTCCTGCTACTAACAACATTGCCCCAAGTACCCACTGTATTTGTTCATTGTCTGAAACCAAGATGTTGTTACCATTCCAGGGCACATGTACGTACATTTTACATTTAATGTTGATTCTTTTCCTTTTCTTTTTCAGATGTTACCGCGGCTTTGGAATACAGCCAGACGGCTCAGCATAAGCTGTCGAAGCTGGCTGATCTACAGATCGAGAACAACCAGCTCAGAGACACACTCAAAGACTACAATGAAGAGCTGAAGGATGTCAAAAGCCAAGGTAAGTTGGGAGCGTTTCTCGCCTCCCGAACACTGTTTGTCTGTTTCCTGTTTCCTCTCTAGTTTGGTGTAAGACACATTGCTCGTGTGAGGAGCAGGCTCGCGGTCTAATTATCTCGACACTTCTGGTGCCACGCTCCGGTCGAGCTTGCCGAACGTTGTAACGGCTTGGGACCGACTCCCTGCTACAAGGGGAAGGACCACTGAGTTCCAATGCAGCCCCAGTGCCTGTTACTCGTCTGGAGGGCACCTGAGCGTCCTATCGAGCAGACGAGCGCGTCGGTCCCGCCCGGGCGGCCCCCTACCGACTCTGCGACAATGCGGTGCGCGCGAGCACATCGCCCAGTGAGATCGGCCCGCCCGGCGCGGACAGAAGGGTCGCGAAAGTTGGTCATGGTTGACGCTGCACACTTCCTGCGCCGCTCCATTGTCGGCCGGATTACGGATGGCCCGCCGGCGCGCCGCTCATTTCCACGCTCCTGTGGCCGTGGCGAAGATGTGAGGCATAACTTCGGGGAAGTCAGGTGCCGAGTGAGTCTATTGCCGAACGCGGTGCCGCTCTGCTGCTATTGCCAATTTCCGGCCCGTCCGAATCGGACCATTCCGCTCGCCGTGAATCTGGCAGCGGCTTCAAATTACTACTTAGCCTCTTTCAATTTCCTCCTGGCGGCGAAAGGAGTGGGGAGTTATGAAGCCTGTCATTAGACTGTTGATTGTGAGACGTCGAGCTGCAATGGGATGATCGGTGGGAGCTTTACCGGACGAACCTGACGAAGCCTGATGGAACATGACTGGGAGATGCGGCCGCCCGCTCGCTACCAGCTTAGTTAGTTCAGGTTCATATTGGGCCGATTTAGACTATCACTGCAGCTGCTTGCCACATCTGAACTCGGCGGCCTTTGTGTTTGTTTGAATCGGTTTTGTTTGCCTTTGAATATTGTCCACAGAAAATACTGAACCCCTGGCGAAAGAAAGGTAGCATTCAACCAGTTGAAGCACCTAGCCCACTCGCCGTTGTACTTTGTCCCGCGTACTGACTGTGACTGATTTGGGTGTGCACGATACCTTCGATATGTCCTTGCCAGCCAAACCACGTAAATTTCCAATTTTGTTGGATAGTAGATAGGACCTTACTCCCATGTGCATCTGCTTTCCATTCCAAATCCAGCCTGCTGTTGCGTGTGCTGGGAAGCTCTAGTTAAAACTGTGGGATTTAATTTCACAACGCTGCTCATGGAAGCAGTTCCGCTGGATCTGATTAGGACGCCTTCATGCGAGATGCACTTACCGCGGCTGCCATGCATAATTTGCCGCGCGGTGGCATTGAACCGTAATCAAAAAGTGAAACAGGACGTCGGCCATAACCCGATGGTGTTCCCAGGCCGTGCTACATGCCGATACAGCCGGCCACTTGATCAAGCCGGGCGTGCACCTGCGAGCGGGCGCGGTCGTACCCATGTGTGAAATTCTCAGCCAGCTTCATCAGTTTGCTTTGATGTGTCCCGTACCCACTGAGTATCCATATGATTGCTTTATTTATATAATGTAAGGGGTGCAAAATGACCACAGCAGTTTGCGGACGTGGAAATATAATGAAAAACCAACAAGACTCCTACTTTGCCCGAATCCTTGCACCCACTGTTGTGGTGTAAGTTGGTAATTTTCAAAACGTTCAGGAACGCCTTATTCTACAGCAAATGTTTTGGTGAGTGACCACCGTCCCAGCACTTAATCTCAACATTTCTTTCGCACCCTCCTCTCTGTGTGTCTCCATTTTGCCTTCCTGTTTCCAACCTCTCTTTCCTCTCTTGTTTCTCCTCTCCATCCTCTGTCTCTCCGAACCGCATTGATTGCTTCTCCTTCCCGTCATTTATCTCTCTTCTCTCCTGCTTTCTGTACCTCTTCCTTCATTGTTCGCCTCTCCTCTGCTCTCTCCGATGCCCGGTATCGCTCGGGTGGCCAGTATTAATCAGACTAATTAATATCAGGGCTGCATTAGCGACCATCGGCGAGTAAATCACCCCCGCCGGTCTATAAACAAATGCGGCGGCCGGCCAGCGCCACAAAAACGCTCGAATTATCAGCGGCCGCCGGCCAGCCGACCTGGCCGGCAGGGCTGATGAATGGGGCATTCGGCGCACCTCTGGGCCGGGCCGGGCGGGGTGCGCTGCACAGCGCAGCGGACACTGGACAGGGACGGGGGCGGAGCCGACCGGGGTGACACAGGGGACGGGGTAGTGTGGACGCCCACCTGAGGCCAGTTTGTGGAGGGGGTTACCTTACCACAGTGCTGCCAGTGAGCAGCATTAGCATGCCTGGTGATCGGCAGACATCGCTGGTATTTTATCGTCGCTGACGTCAGGACGTGATTTTTGGCATAGTTTCGAGTGTGGAACATGGGAGGCATCGGCGATAATTACAAATACATAACCGCATGCTATGTTAAATATCAGATGTTCCGCATGTCTGAACAGCTTAGTTTCCTGACAACAAATAAAATGTTACTGAAATATTTAATAAACCAGATTCATTGAGCAGATTATTTTCAACAACAGGATATCGTTACGGAACTAACACCATTGACATGCATTTATTTGTTCCATATCTCGGCGTTCCCGCTCCGCATCTGCGTTGTCCCTGGACGTTGTCCTCCTACAGGCTACATATTTGCCTTTCACAACACAGAGGTTTGCTTTCAGCACCACCGCTGCGTTACCGAACAAGCCGCAAACCCTCCTCCCTTTGAGACGCTCCGGTGCAGCGGTGGCTGCTGGTATACACGGAGAAGAGTATATGATCACGGGATGACACAGCACACTGATATGTTTTGAGAGCAGTGAATGATCTCAACCTTCGTGGGTCGCAGTGGTCAATAGTCTCCCCAGTCAAACTTTGTTATTGAAAGCTTGAAGGAGTCTCTCTCGAACACTTGACAGTCATCATTGTCCGACTGATTGCCGTACTTCTTGGTTGGGTGCCTGATTGACTGATTGGTTTATCAGCCTCTTGTGTGATCAGCCTCTGCTGTGTGCCATCCCGCCGTCTGGGACAGAGCCCACCGTCGCCGGCCCACCACCGGTGAATCGACCGCAGGGATCCGAGCTGCCGGGCAATTTACGATGTCACGCCCGGTGAACCCGGCAAAAATGATGGTTTACGTGGCCGACGACTCCAATCAGTTTAATTGGGTATGCGCGCCGCGGCGGCGGCGGCGGTCGCGGTCGCGTGGCCGCCAAGCCTGTCGCGTATAAACCCATACGGGTCCCGTACCGTGCTCGTCATGTCAGCCAGGGCGGCCTGTGGAGCGGGCAGGCCGGCGACCCGCCCTGCACCGGCGCCGGGCCGTGGCCGCTTGGCTCACTCGGACGCCCACAAATGGCCGCCTGTAAACGCCATCCCATGCGATCGGTCCCACGCGCCGGGCCATGATTGTGGCGCCCACGGCGCGCCGGCCAGCCGGCCGGAACGCGCACGGAACGCCCGCCTTCCGGAACTGAACGTGCGTTGCACGCGGCTGGCGGTGTGCATTTGAAGAGGCGCCACGGTCGGCTGGCGCCGCCGGTGTGTGATTCCGACCGCCCCGTGTGTGCTCACGGCATATGCCGTGGCGGTGGGCCGCCGTATTTATGAGAATGGAGTTTGTTCAGGTGCGGCGGGCTCATATGGCATATACCGCCGACGTTGGGAGGTGATGCTTGAAACTACGTCTTTTTGGTGTTGAACAGGCGTCATTTGTCACGAAGGCCATCAAATGTGCGCGCTTCATGTCTCGTAATTGTGACTTCCTGGCCCTCCCCTCAACCATGATGTCATGCACTACCGCCGATCACTGTGCACCGTGCATATGCACTGCGCAATAAATACTGAGTGCTCGCAATAAATAATACCTTTCCATCGTCCACGTCCGGTGCTCCCTTCCCTGCGTCTATCGGATGTGCAGTCACCGCCTGTCGAAGGACTGCGATACTGGCTCGGCGGCTATCGATACGGACCGGTACGCGTTCCGATCGGAGACTGCATCGGCGTGCGGCCGCATAGGGCGCTAACACTACGGCAGCGGCGACGGCGCGAGAGGGGAGAAAGCACGCGCTCTAGGAGGGAGAGGTAGCGAGTCCGCTAACAGAACAAAGTGAAGGGAGGGGTTCGGAATTTTGACCAGTGTACAAATACTGGGGCTGGATTGGTGACGGCTCCTCCACGACTGGCCTGAAGCAGAGACTGACTGACACAGAGGGGACAGAGGGTGGAGTGATAGGATTGAGAGGCAGAGTGGCGGGGTGACCGGGTGTTCAGTAACCGCCGCTCCAGACCCGTAATCTCAGCGTGATTCGTGCGGCCGCAGCGTGACAAAGCCAATTAACTGGTGTAATATTCCGACGATTTCCGTGGTTAGCCGTTCCCACAATTGTGCGCCAATCGGCGCCCCCGATGGCTTTTTATCCACTCGCTACGCACGGAAGACGGAGCTGCTCTGTGGCTCCTCTTCCGATGCCTTGGGCTCCCGTCCTCCGCAGGATTATTGGATGGGATGGAGATGTTCTTAACTATGTCCTTTTCTGGTCTTCCGACATCGTCGCCTCTTCAGCAAGGGTTTCATTTTTTCTCCTTATCTGTCATCCCCACACCTTCTAGCACGTCTCCGTCCCGTCTTCTGTTTTCCTTCTCCTGGCCTAGTCTCCTTACAGCGTGTCCTCCCAGCGTCTCCAGCCCCCGTCTCCCGCCCCGTCTCCACTGGGCGGCGGCCCGCCGCTGCACAGTGGGCCGATATGCCATTCTAGCGCGACAGGGCCTGAATCTTCGAACGGAACCCTCGGTTTTTCGCGAGTAATTCGCGTATAAAGCGGCCGATCGCAACGAAACTTTCAGTACCCTCGCGAAAATTAATTTTACAGCTAACCTGAAAAATTCATGACCCTGACCTTAATGATCTTTGACCTGTGACCTTCTTTCGAGACCATGTTTGCCCGGAATCTCGATTCGGCGTATGTCGGCTCGCATTAG